ACACCAATGTTGTGCAAAACTCAGCATTTGAGAAGCAGGGGAGATTTTTGCTCTCTTCCTGACGCTTCCTTTTGTTTTCCAGTTCCATTTCCCTACTTTATCCTCGCCGTATTTACATTTCCTTCTTTTGGCTCCCTTTGTCTCCTCGTGTTTCCTTTGTTTTCTCCTACTTCTGTGCTCACACTCTTAATCTGGCTGTGTGGCTGATTGTTGAGTCTGCGCAGGATATTTTGGCTGATCTCTCCCAAAGATCTGGTCCACTGGTTTCCAGCACGGCTCCATCCCGCACTCTAAACGCGGGCTCATAAATCAAACCTCAGCAAGCATGAGTAGAGCTTCAGCCCCGCCAGGGTGCAGCCACATCAGGACTTTCTCCATCTCAACCTTATGACTGACAGCGACTACGTCCCGGTTTCAAACCACATTCCTAACCCTAATCATAATAACGTCCTTAACTCCAATCATGAAAAAAACCCTTCTGAAAGTGCAGGCCAAATTAAAAGGCAACTTTTCCGTCCTGCTGGCCAACTTTTTCACGCACACATTTTTAAAAACAAAGATACAGTTTGTTTTTAATGAGATCCCATTACTTACTTTCGTGAAAGCCAAGGCTACCATTAATTCAAATTTCTGCCACGTGCAAATAAATGCCTCCTACTCCTCCACATCCTGTGTATCACGCCACAATATTCACCACCAGGAAGTAGATGATCAGATTACAGTTTATTTCTGAGTATGCAAGAACTTCCATAAAAGAAGTAGCTGAGCACACGCAGCGAGTGATTTAAACGTGTAAAGTTTCCTATAAATATGCCGACTATTGCCTTTGTTGTCTGATGCATTTTACTCTTTTTGGCAACTTTCAACATGCGGGAAATCTTAAAAAAAGTTATTTTAATTAATTAATTTATCTTGTCTGTATTTAACAGAAAGAACGCTTTGAGCGTTTCCATTAGCTTGGCACAAACTGTAGAAAAAGAGAGGAATGCTGCTCTGTCGCAGAGGTCAGAGAATCTGCCCACCAGCTCTTCAACATCTCATTAATCAACACTTTTCCGAATATTTAATCAGTCCTCAATCCACAAGAAATGAAGTGCAAAAAGCCACAGGCTGTGGTTTCTACAAGGGGATTGTGTGGGTGGTTATTTTTTGGATGAGCACGGTAGCGTTAAGGAGTCAAGAAGTCCTGTCTTCGCCATGAGGTGGCCAGAGGAACCAGCTGCTCACAGTCTTTAGAGTTGGATAACTTAAGCAGCTGCTGGAAACAGCTGGTTTTCTGGCACAGCAAGACTACAGGAAGTGACTGTGCCTGTCTGAGCAACTGGAAAAAATACCACAGCTCCTCAATTGTACAGGGCACAGGAAAGCAGGGCATTAACTGGCAAGAAAAAAAAAATCATAGGACACACATGAACACCCAGCTAAAAGAAGAAGAAAGAAACTGCATTAGCTTCAGTCTGTGTGACGGTAAAGAGAAAGAAATCGTCAGAGTGGCCGAGCAGACGACGAGCTGTAATTCTAGGTCCACACATCTCCAGACATCAAAGTAATCTATGGGAAGTCAGTCTTGAGTGGAAATGATGTTCACTTCACGGAGGTTTGTGTGTGTGTGCACAGGTGTGTGTGTGTGTTTACAGCAAGCGTACAAAGAGATAAAAGTATGGTGATTTAGCAGCAGGTTGTACATCAGCCACACAGGGATGTGCAAAGTCCTTGACTGCCAGAAGACACAGGATGTGGAAATAGTACCTCTAACTACCTCTACTCCTCCTCCTCCTCCTCCTCCTCGTCGTCGTCTGCCACCTTTATCTTCCCTTCCTCCCACCTTTCCACATCCATCTATTTGCCTGCCTGTCCAATCATCCATCTGTCTGTCCGACCACCTATCCATCTCTCGTTTTGCCAGAAAAAAACAGCGAGATTGAAACACAGAGCTAAACATCATTTCTGATTCTCCTCGAGAGAGAAAGACAAAAAAAAAAACATAAACATTACATATATTGATTTTTTTTTATTATTTACTTTCATTTGTTTAGAGTCTAGCCATTCTTGCTACGTTGTTTTATGCTATCTATTAGCCCCTCAGCTCTAGAACAGGGGTGTCAAACTCATTATCACCGGGGGCCACATCAGCAATACAGTCCCCCTAGAAGGGCCAGTTGAAAAATGAAGACTATATAGATCAGGGGTACCCAAGCTCTGGTCCGCGGACCAGTACCAGTCCATAGGTCATTTGGTACTGGACCGCAATGGACCAGAGTGGAAAAAAAAGTACTGCATTTTTACTCATTTACTTCATTCAAAGAAAGTCATATCCATTTACTTTCTTTATTTAAAGATAGGCTGGCTATATTTTAAAATGATAGGTCATTCAGACTGATACTAACAGAATAGAGTCTAAAAAATGTTTGATTTTAAAAATGTATAGACCCTTAGCACGTTGCACGTAACAGTCCGTAGTAACAGGTGGTACTGGCTGACCAGTCCTTGGAATAAAAAAAGGTTGGGGACCTCTGGTATAGATGTAACTACTCCATAACAGACTAATACATGTTTCTACAATGGATTATTCATTCAAGCTAGAAATATTGTTCATTGCTGTGTAAAAGAAGGTTAAGAAACTCAGCTGCATGGACTTTACTAAATGCTTTTTAAGCTCCTGCAGGCCACACAGGAGTTGCATCGTATGATTAAATCATTTGAAAAAGAAATGTTGACATTAGAGGGATCTTATTCTGCGATACCAACATGCACATGCTAAACAAGGTGAGCCTCAGCATTAGTTATTGGCCTCAGGTGTTTTCTTCAGTTGATAAGACAGATTATGAGTGCCATGAGATATGGAGGAAATACACACAGCAGGCCATAAGCCTGAATCAAAACCAGGCGGTGGCTCTACCAGGTAAGACTCCCAGTGTTCCTGTTTGGGGGTTTCTTATCTACAGGCACAGAAATGTCTTGGTTTACAGTTTGATTTATTGAACTAACAAACAAACAAACCTCCCATGGAGACAAATGCCGTGATAACCAATGTTTATGGCTTAGATGGAGTTAAAATACCTGCAGACTGGTAGAAATCGGGTCAAGGACTTTTTTCCCCACTGTCATCTGTACTTGACTTGTTCATGTCAGAAAGTTTTTGTTCAAATCATGTCATCTCAGCAGTCAAACAAACCAAACATGCTCATTGAAAAGCTTCAGATCAGAAGCATTTTTTAAGTTGCTTTTCAGTAAGGATTTAAAAAAAAAACACATTTCTCTGACACATGTCTAAAAGCTCTGGTCAGATATGCATCATGTTGATGTGGACTTATGTTCTCGGTATGCTGCCCCAACAGGACTGAACAAACTCAGAGGAGAGGCAGCAACAGATATGGAAATGATTGCCTCTGCTGCTGTTGGGCTGCACATTATTGAGTGAGACAGAAATGTGTCCGCTGTGACTGTGAGTTACGGACTTAATAACGTCTTTATTTAGCGCTGTGTCCACCCGTGTGCTTTCCGGTTGACCAATCAGCACCAAGCATGATCTAACTAATTAGAACAACTTCCTCCGGGGGAGAATTAACATCTGAATCCTCCTGCTGGAGACTTTGATTAGAAAGCAAATCTTCACACCGGTGTCCTCTGGTGCTCGGTGATTGGACGGAATGTTAGAGTAGACATCAACAGTGAATCATGGCGGTTAGAACTTTGCTGCTGCCTCATTAATAAAGTTGAGAATAGATTTTACTTCTGGGTCAACCATTGATTTTAGTGGCTTTTTATTTGACAGCGCTGTAAAACACACTGACAGTGAAAACGTTGTGTTTTCCTGTGAGATCCTGGCTCTTTTAAAGAAGCAGGTATAATTTTAAAGATTAACGTTTGTAATTTGTCCACAATGGAAGAAACATTTGTTCAATTTGCTAACATTAGCTTTATAAAAGCCCATTACAACCCATTATTTCTTCTTATTGGTCACTTAAACCTTTTCCACTATTTCCTGCTGCACTGACGGCACTGAAATCCTTTTACCATCAGTCAGATTTGCTACTAACATCCATCCTTCAACTTTCTAGCATCTGGGAAAGGCCAAAATTAACTTTTGTAAGGGCTGTGATATTTACATCAACAGTCACAGTAAACATATAAATAGACCTTTTAGAGCTGCATCTTCCATGATCATAGAAACACAATGACACCTTTTTGCATGTCATCAAAAAAACAAAACAAAAAAACAGTCAGAACAGAGAGCAGTCAGAGCTGGAGCAGGAAGTGTGTCAGAAATAGAAGTCGTTACGGTGAAACGTGAAGTTGACAAGTTTGATCTGAATGACTCCATTGCTCTAGTTGTCAGTCAAATCTCCAACATCGGCCCATGGAGAACAGCCTTTAGCTATTTTTACTATTTTACTCTTAGAGCATTTTCTGGTCCAACAGCAATCGCAGCGCTCAGTGGTTTTAGCAGCACAGCTTTTTGGAATTAAGGAGAGAAACATTACTCAGAATCTTTCTCCTTTAGTGATTGCTGACTATTATCAGTCTTACCTTTTAAAATGTTAAAGTGGCAAAACTGGTTTAATTGGTAGCTGGTGAAATTAGCCCACTTCAGTGTTGTTCAGAAACTAATGATTAAAAGACATTTGTAGCATTTGTTGATGACTGGTGATGTCATAACTTGATTGTATAACTGTTTATTAAACCTCAGGGTTTTTTTAAGGTCATTTATCTCTAATCCATTAGGTTGTGTAACTGAGAGCTAACAAACACGTTTGTTTCACTAACAGTGCCTGTTGTGCGCATTAGTCATATTTGTCCTTGAGATGTTGGCACATATGGGCTGTGTGACACTTGAGGGCTTGATGAAGAAAAACAGATTTTATTACAGTCCAACTCAACATTGATTTAACACTGACGGCGGTAACGGTGGCTGATGACAGCAGTCGGCTGTCCATTCTAATTAGGACAAAGGGGTTGCAGGTGTGTGTGTGTGTATGAGGTGTGTGTGTGTGACTTACTTGAGACCAGGTGAGACAGTGGCACAGCTGCCAGACTTGAGCCAAATGCAGTACGGGTCCTGAGAAGACAGACAGCTTCTGCAGAGACGGGAAGAAGACAAACAGATGGTCAGAGATGAAGGGGCATTTAGAGAGAAGCTCAGCAGATGTTTGCACCAGTAACAACAGTCTAACAACAACTCATCACTTTCTCTGATGTGTGAGCTCACACCGTGAGCTCGGTGTTAGCCGTGTGTATCCAGTGTTTAAAATAAGAAAACAAACAAACACACGTGCACACACATTGAAATGATGACAAAACACCCCACCATCACCGTCATTGTCACAGTGGGGTTCAAATATGTGATTTAACTCCCAGTGTGTGTATATGTGAAAGGAGAAGCACATCTTCATGTAACACCTACATCCTGGGGTTTCTGTGGGAGGGAACTTTTGTTCTGTTTACAATGTGACATTTTGCTTAAATACACCCAGGCGCGGCCCTTTGAATCACACTTCGACTGAAATCAAACAACAGATCTTTATATGTTAAAGGGCCTGCCTCTCTGTAAGCATAAAATATGTAATTAGCTGAGCCGCAAACACAGGCTAACAAGTATCCAGGGTGTGATCAGCTTAACTGGAACCAACATAAACAATAATGAAAAGAGACAGAGGGAAGATAAAATCAGATTAGTGTTTGATTAGAGTGAGGACAGCGGGAGCTGCTTTTGTTTTCTTATTGATGTGGAAGGATTAAAAAAAAGATAGTTTTTTTTTTCACTCGTTCACAGGCAGAAAAAAAACAGAATGCATAATTATTTCTCCCACATAAACAAGGTATTTATATAAGGCAGAGGGTAAACACAGCGATTATCAACTGGACTGATCAGGAGAAATAAAACAAAGACATTCTTAAAGCCTCAGCAATAAACAAATATAACTTGGAGTAATATAGTTTTTTAATCAAGGAAATCAAATGTCATATCTCTTTGTTATATAATAAAAATAGATCCCACTTTGTTTTTGTTTATCACAAAGCAACAGATCAGAAACAAGACACGCGCACACACACACACACACACGTTTTATTAATTTTTTCCAAATATCGGTTGACAAAGCAACTACGACTGCTATGAAAAACTATTTTAAACAGTGGTATTTTTAGAAATTTCATATATAAATTAATCTTTTTTTCAAATGTGATCTTCTGTAATTTGTTTAATACTGTGGTTTTATGACACGAATTTGTTTAATACTGTGGTTTTATGACTGAGACACTATGTCATAGGACATAAACTATAGAATGCAGAGTGAGGTCACACTGATTATCCATGAGACACCATTTAGAGAGAAACACCATCAGATGAGTTCAACATCTGATCCCACTTATGCTACAGTACTGTGAGGTGATTTAGTGGCTAACACGCTGACAGAGTGGAGACTGTTTACTTCCTGCCTTTAAGACCGTCAGCATTAACAAGCATCAATAGTCATTTGTCACGTTCCCAGCTGAATCAAAACCATCCAGTGCTTTTCCCTGCCACGTGTCACTGGTGTTGATTAGCCTCTTGTGCTGATCTGTTGTCAGTCTTGGCGCTCGGTCCTTCGTTTTTACACTTTTTTAAATTTCTGCTCCTGTGGAATCAGTCGCTCCAACTTTTCTCCTTACTTCTGCCCAGACGTGATCACAGGATGACTCCAGAGTATCTGCCGAACCATCTCAACGTTATTTAAAAAACACTTTTCAGAACATGATGTTTGCCAACGTACCCAGCAGCTCAAACATAATGAGCGTTAAGAACTGAGCGCGGAGAGCATGACAACAGTCATGTTTACTTCTCTCCGCTCCTCAAACATTTCCACGGAGATATATTAAGTCTGTTGTGCTGAATAAAAGTAAGAAAACAAAAATATGAAAAAAAGGCCTAGAGCTTTCCTCCAGTGCTGTGTTCGCTAGCATGTTAAACAAAAAACTTTAAAAGGCGAGAAGCTTTAATGAGAACTCCAGTGACTGTGGCGTTAAATATAGCATAAAAATGATTTACCACTATATGAACTGTGACGCCACCTCCGTCTGTAAACATTACAGAGAAATCCCACTGGGACACAACAACAGCGTATCGCTGCACCACAGAAACTAGTCCCATCCAACGCCTAAGTCACTTTTGAAATCATGAATTCAGTCAACTCATCAACTTTTCCTGGCACTTTTAAGTGATGTAAAACAACAGAGGGTTGACTTTAAAAACACGGTCACAGTAATCGCTGCAGTGACCCTCAACTGTAGTATAAGGGATCTGAATCAGAGACATTTACACATCTTTGTCACAACAGAACAGAATGGTCTATACTATGTTTCTCTCCCTCTGTACGTGAATAAACACAGGAGGTGAAACTTGAAAAACATCAAGTTTAGTAGAGTGGGAAAAAAAAATCCATTTTCTTTTCATCATCAAAAACAGCTTTTGGTCCAAAGAAGTCCATTTCTGTTTTGCTCTCTGTTGAAGGGCCACAGTCTGAGCACTGCAGGGTCTGGAGGTCTTAAACCGGCTCTGGCCTGCATGTGTGGCTACTGATATGTGACCCATCGTTTTATAAATGATTCATAACCTCACCACATGGTGCGTATGAATATCACTCTCCCTCACCCTCCCCTCCCCTGCCGTCTTCACACCACCACTTCCTTTCCACTCTCTGTGTTCCTCCATTTGTATGTAAGGAATGAACCTCTGAACCACAGCCACTCAAGGAACACTAGACCAGATGTGACCTGCTGTGGAGTTTGGCTGTGGACGTTAAGCTAAAAGTCATTTGATGACGCATTTGTATGTGCCGCTTTCCTACAATGTGCTCATGTATGGCCCCCCCATGGCTCTTTATGCTGTGGTGTGTTATGTTGCCAGCAGCCATAAGATGTAGAAACATCCATTAGCTGCTGAGAGAAGACAGTTTATCCACGTTTTGAGACTGCGGCTTAATATGTTCAGCCGCCATTTACACAATATCTGGAGAATAACCTCATGCGGAGAGGAGGCAGGAGATAGAATTATCTAATACAGTGTGATTGTGCTGTAAAGGACACTTTCCAAACTGGCCTAAAGCTGATAGAAGAGTAATTATGGATGTGATGCCATGTTTACAACAAATCTTTTACGGTTAATCAGAGTGTATTTTTACTGGACGAAAGGAATCAGGGAAACTACACAACAGACATCAATACCAAGGTGCAGCCTTAAGGTTTTTTTTTTTTTTATGTGGACCCCCCTCCACTCCGTCTATTCGTCAAGAACAAATACTGTGCTACATCCATAAGAGTAGAGACTTTTTTTTTTTAAAGGCCAACAATTAAGTGGCGTGAATTTTAATAAATATTTTAGTGCATTACAATTAGCTTTGTTTAACTGCTGTAACTGCAAGTACGTCAAGCAGTTTTTTCACAAACATGACACAATATGGCAAAAGATATTGACGGAAATATTAATATATTGTTATATATTAAAATATTGTGTAACAGTTTGAAAAAAGTAACACTTTACCCGCGCGACTATACAAAGAAAAAAGAATAGATTTATTATTACTACTACTACTGAAATACAATAAAATGATTAAAACACCACAAGAAACGACGCAAAATGAGGATTCACATTATTCATTATTCACAATCAATTGATAAATTAAAACAGGTTGCCAACAATACATTAGATAAAAAGGACGTATCACATGACTGCACAGAAATAGCTAGTAAATCCTAATTTCATAAAACTAGCTAAGATGAGCAAAGCATTTAGAAGAAGTTGCAATACTGCCTTTATTAGCCCTGAAAAAATGCGTCCCTACGGAGACTTTGCCAGAATATACTGTAAAGAAAGAGAACTTTAAAAACCGTAAACCTGAATCCACAGTTTAGATAGGAGGAGTTTCCTTCTCTAACAATGACCTTCTGTGCTGATGCCTCCCTCAACCATCACTGACATTTTACCTTCACTTTTAGCTCCGTATAAAGATGTGCGAGACTCTCCTCTGGAGAGAAATCTTCCATAATGACGCATTCTCACCAAGTTTGAGTTTAAACGTCCACTGGCAGCTGCAGACTTTATGACTCATCTGTCAGAGGTAGAAATAATACGATCACCCTGGACAGGCAGAACTAAAAACATCCAGCGCTCACTCCGTTTTAAACCATATTTTCTGACTTTAAGGACATTGGATGGAAAATAACCTTTACATATATCATAGTACCACCATAGTGCTTCGGGCTAAAGCAGAAATGGAGTTATTTATCCAAAGAGACGGCTGCCGACCTATAAACCGGTCACAAAAATGTCAACTAGAGCTGAGGATTTCAGGGTTTGGGGGCCTCTTCCTCCGATCCATTGTGTTTTTTTCATTATTAAAAGTCCTATTCCGTGCAGTTCCCTACTGCTGTTCAAAACATTTTTTGAAACCCAATATTGGCAGCAGGGCCTCCAGTAGAAAAAAAAAGAAAAGAAAACGAGAGAAAGAGGGGAAAAAAAGTGAAGGGGGAGTAATAGAGAAGAAACAGGACTGAGAAATACAGAGACAAGGAGGACAAATGAGGGCAGGAAACTGAAGGATGGAGTAAACCTCATCTGGAGGAAAACAGATTCCTCAGTGTGGTAAAGAAGGATATGCTGCAGGGAACCTGACCTCCTGGGCTGGTGCTGATGAGGCTTATAAGGCCCCTAATCCCAGGATGAGGTGTGCTGTAGCTGCAGCCTCTACAAAGGATTTTGGATGTAGTCGCCTGGTAAACCCAAGTAAGGCAGGCCCCCTTTCCATTTTTCCCCCCTTGTACCTCCTTTTTTATTTCTCTCCTCCTGCTCGCAGAGAAAAATGGAAGCCACCACATCGGTGGCTCCCGGCCAATCAGCTGGATCCAATTTATGAATGAGCAATGTTAAGAGCTTCTCCAGGCCTTTGCAATAAGGGGCTTGCATGCTATGGTGGTGTACATATTTCCCAATGGAGCCCAGGAAAAATCTCTGGGATTGAGAGAGTTGACAAAGGGAAAAGAGAAGTTGGTGGTGGAGGGGCAAACATTCCCTACAGCTCCAAAAATAGACCTCTGAGGCTGGGGAGCAGCTCTGTGAACTGGGACTAAAACATTGCCTGACAAAACAAAAGATGGATGAAAAAAAGTCTCAAGTTTGAAGAATCTGTCGGGCTTTGCTCATAAACTTTGCCTTTCAACAGCAGAGAAAAAAAATCTGGCTTTTACTTATTACCAAGCGTTTACAACTGACAGACCTTCAGCCACTATGTATGTATATTATAGGGTAGTGAGATGGTAACTGCACCGCAGCGACAAAGAGTTTCCTTTAAATCAATGGCTTTCTCAGTAATAAAACTGTACATCGCCACAAAAAAGAAAGAAAGAAAACGATTAGAAAAAAATACTAAAGCAGGAAAAATAGGAGTTACATCTATATGTCTGCTATGAGAGTTATCTGGGTCAGAGCTAATATCACTGAGCTACAGAGCATTGGTTGGTCAGTTAGATCATTGTTCCCCAAAGACTGGGTTGCAACCCTCAGGTGGGTCTCAAGAGATTTCTTTTTTTTTGGGTCATCTCGCATCATGTTTCCCAGGAGTTTACGAATAATGTCTATTGACTTGGGACGCAAGAAAAAAAAGTTTGGGAAACACTGAGTTGGATAAAAAAGTGATCAGCAGTCTGTTCACTGAGCGAAAGGAACAACTAAAGAAATCAACCAATGGTGCCTATTACGTCCTAGGAACAAATAGGCTTGTAACAGCTAAATGAATCACTGTGATAATACAAATGAGGTGCACTTTAACAACGTGTAGGACTGCCGGGTAGACCTGGCTACTAAAATGTCTCTGTTAAAGTCAGAAATTAATTAGACATATTTATAAAGAACTCCTAAAAATGATAATGCTTTGTTAAAAAAAAAAATTAAAACAAATTTAAACTGATTATGGTTTGAACATAAAAACGGGAAAAACCTGAAAATGACTACAAACGACCCTGTTAACTCTCATACGATGAAGTACTTCAGTGACTGTGTCCTCTCAGTACAGAACACCTTCTGCAGAATGTCTATTTTTTTTTTTTGCTGTCTCTTCTCACTATACAAAACAATGTCATCGGAGAATTTCATGATCCACGGATACTCCTGTCTGACCTCATTTGTCTACCTGTCCATCATAAATGTTAACAATATTTTATACCCATGAAATATTTTCACTATTTTGTTTCCTTTAACTCTCGGAATGTCGAAATTGAATATTGTCATTGTCAAACACAACAGCGGAAAATATCCACCAACAATCATGTGTGTGGGTGGAGGAGATCAAATGAACCAGGTGGAACACTTGTCCCCTCGTTAACAGTCAATTAAGCAGAGATTTTCCCTGTATTCTCACTGAAGTCTTCAGAGATTAAACTATGAAGACGAGAGAATAAAAAAAATTATGAAATGTTTGTTGTTTGTAACAAACAGCCCTGCTGTAATTGTTTCCTGTTTGTAACAAACAGCCCTGCTGTAATTATCCAAAAAAAATATAAAAAAATATCCAGCAGCAGTGTGCGGTCCTAACTTCTAGAACAATCTGGGCTTCTTCACATCACAGCCATACGACACATCCTCTTGTTAACTTTACTTTTTATTCTCACTTTCCTGTCAGACTAGTTTCTGAGGAACTTCCATGAACCAGGCAGATAATAACACAACACCTGCAATTTTTTGGTACAGACCTTTCTCCAAATGCCTCTAACAGCACATTGAGTGGGTTCATTTCTTACATTTGTAGCTGCAGACGAAAATTGGTCTGACTTTGCTGGAGCCACTTGGCACTGCTGGAGCCATTTTTCTTTCCTTGATCACAGTGAGAGAAATCCTTAATTCACAGCATGCAGCATTGGGAATGCTTCCATTCTCTGGGCTGTTTTTCTTTTGTTTCACCATGTTTAATCTGGTTTGCTTCAAATGTGACAATGTGACAGTCACTATTCACCCTCTGACTCATGGTCATGGATTACATCAACGAGCTCCACTTTTCTTGGTATTTTCCTACTAAGACTCAGCTGGATTTTGCAGGAAGATTTTATTCTTGTGGATAACCCTAATAAAGGTTTATTATTATTATTTTTAATTAGTCGTATGTGTTAACTGCTCACTCAATCTTGATTATATATTAAAAGACATAGAACCATTAACTTCCTGAAGCTGCTGTTGACAAGAACAACGGCTTTGTTTTGCCCTTTGTTTAAGCATTTTTGTTTTTTAGTTACTTCTATTCAAAAGATTTGGGCCAGTTAATCAGCAATTAAAGGTAATTGATTAATTGTGAGGCAGTGGTGGCTTAGTGGTTAAGGAAGCGGACTTGGGTCGGCTGTCAAGTTACCACTGAGGTGCTCTGAGCCTGGCACCGTCCCCACACACTGCTCCCCTTAAAGCTGCCCACTGTTCACTTTGGTGATGGGTTAAAAACAGAGGTCACATTTGGTTGTGTCACAATGACAAGTAGTTCACTTTCCTTCCTTAATTGTGACCAAATTTAGAATCAGATTAATTCGGACACAAACACAACACCAGACACTGGTTACAGGTAGAGGGATTATGGTTTTGCTTTGTCTAGGCGTCTAAACAGTCAAAACAACAGTGGGCAAAAGTCCAAACTTCAGGTTTCAAAAGTGTCCCTCATAAACCAAGACATGTTTTGGTCACTTGGTAATGGCCCTAAACATAATCACCCTGTGGTTTTGTGACATGAACAAATGCAACTCACTTCTTGCAGGTGCTGTAGTCTGAGCAGCGGCTGAGCGGCACACGGATCACACAGCTAGAGAAGGCCACAAACAGAGCGTGGTGATCCCGGTCCAGCTCCAGGCCCAGCACTCTCCTGTCCTCGCCCCGTACATTACACCTAGGGACACAGAGAGACAGTATCTGTCACTTTCAGTTGATGTATAAATATTTTCTCTTGTTTGAAATCAGTGCTACAGTCGGCTGCCTCAGTCTGAGGAAAATACAGACAGCCGAGAGTGATGTTTTTTAAGCACGCAGTCAGAAAACAAAAGAAGACCGAGAAAGAAGAAGAGGGGAAACACACACACACACACACACACACACACACACATCCCCTCAGGCTGTACAGGATGATGCAAAGATGTTACAATAGAGCCAAGAGTGGGTGGGCAAGACAGATCAAGGCAGAACAGAGAGAGGAGGAGAGGAGCAACGAAGAACAGGGAAAAGTGACAGAAAGATACTAAACGAAGGACAAGAAACAATTAGGAACTGAAAGTGAAAACACACAACTATGAAACGTGACAAACAACGAAAGGAAGAGAGGAGAGATCTTGGAGTGGAAACTGACTTGTTGGGATTATAGACATCGATGTCTTCCAGGAGCTGCGTGCTGAAGGACGCGTTAGCTCCCTCAGTGCTGGTGAGGATTTTGAGCACATGGCCGTTGTCAGAGCCCAGGAAAACCACAGTGTAGTTCTTGAAGGGCCCTGCTGAGGTGTCCACTGATATCTGGGTCAACTTGAACCTGAAAAAGTTGGAAAAAATCTATATAAATGCACATGGAGGTGTGGCAGAAGTGGTGCTGCGGGTGTAGCACCTAAGGAATACAGGTGAATACAATCTTGTTAGTGATGGCACTCCTTATATTAGTGAGAGCCAGGACCAAGGAGAGAGTGAGGACTGCAACATTTGCACACGTCAGAGAGACAGGAACATGAGGACTGACTGCAGAGCAAGAGTGCAGCAGAGAGGGGCAAGCTCTGGTCTATGATAAAAGACTGGTGCTTGGTGTCAACTGTTAAACCACAACTATTGAAGAACGAGCAGCATTATGGACAAAAGTTACAATTCTGTTTACTGCTAGGTAAACCTCAAAATACATGAATAACAAAGGATTATGATGCTTAAACTCCTGGGGCAAATTATTCCATAGATTAAATCTGTTAAAATGAATGCATCACTCACATCAAATTAATTTATGAAGATTAATCAGATTAAAATATTGAAAGCATTTGAATGCATGGGCAGAATGACATTCAACAAACAAAGTCTGGAAGCAGAGTAATCACTTAAACCCACCAACTGTATGATCTTCATCTACCTGCTGTTATTTGTCTTTCTGTTCCAGCAATATACAGATATTGATTGATTTAATATTAGATTATATTAATTGATTTATCTATATTCATTATGATGACATACGATGGCAATTAATCCACAGCTAGCCTGTGGTTAATTTAATAGATATTGATTGATTTAATATTAGATTAGATAATATTAGATAAAACTTTAAAGAATAACATAAGGAACATCATACCTGGGTCTCAGGTATTTAACAAAATGAAGAGGACACAGTCAACTGTAGCCTCCCAACTGTCAATGACTCAAGCTGACTACCATAGTTGTAAGCTTTTGAGGCTTTCATTGTTGTACTGTTAGCAAGAAAACAAACCAGTGCTGTGGAGTGGACAAAGCGTTGATATAATATGATATAATAATTCCAGTTTCTTCTATAGCCTAGGAACTATAGATTCATCTGTGCTTGTAAATGCTCAATGACATCAGCTATGCTTTAAAATTCACTAAACATGTTTTTACTATGAAGAGGAAAACCAACTGTCCTCCTGGAGGGACAAATACACTGGTGTATGTGGTAGTTTAGCTCAAGCTCAACCTTCATTTCAACCTGAAGTACAGAATCACGCATTTACCAAAAAGTACCACAGTTTAGTATCCAGTACATGTGTTCGGCAGTGGGCACTAACGCGTGTTCTCCGACGGTAAAGACAGTGACATGATATTACAGCCCACACACTAATCATCTAATAAAGTGACGTGAACGTTTGCAGTGTTGTCAAATAGTCTTCCCAGCATTTTACAATTGTTTCACTTTGTCAAAGTTATTTTCAGTTGGTAAACAAACAGTAGGCGAGAAGTGAGCTTATTGTGTGAGGCCTCAATGTGCAATCAATCACTCTGTCTACCTTCCCACCATCGCCTACACGCTTTAATCTCTTCATCTAGTTAATTCGTCCTCCGTCCGTCCATCCATCCATCCACCCACAGCTCATCCATCGATCTACTCTCCCTGATGTTTCGCCACTTTCTGCCACACACTTTAATCCTATTGTAAGTTGCTTCTTTCAATCTTTTCTGTTGTTACATTTAAGCTGCAGTCCAGTGAGCTGCTGCGCCTCCTCACGTCCGTTCAGCAGCACACATCAGCAGCTGGGAGCTGTCCACTAATGACACAGCGGCACCACTACAGCTTCAGTGGTGCTGCTAAGGATTAGGAGCCGGGCTGAAGGGCACCTTGAGTCCAGTGATTGCTGACGGAGGGATAATCTTTACTTCCTCTGCACGCTTCTCTGGCCGTGGGACTTGAACAAACAAACTTCGTAAAAAACTAGTAAAACCCATTTGTACTTCTTGGCATCGCTTCTCGTTTAGGTTCTCCTCCAAAGGACACCCGTGGAGGCCTCTGTGCCACGTTTTCAACGCTGTCCTGTACCAGATGGTCCCAGAGAGGCCTGTTTGTTTACCGACATGGGCTTGACTGGCACATCCTCGCATCGGCCTGACGGTATTGCGCGATTTACTTCTGGTAAGGTTTCATTTATCTAGCCCCTCTCTGGGGAGGAGTGAGGCAGATGTGATGGTTTTGGCGCCAGATGTGAAGTGGCGCATGTTTTCCCAGTGTGGAGACGTTTGGCTAGCTGTCAGCCTGGCTTCGCTTCAGGAAGTATGGAAGAGGGTCCTGTATAATCTGTGAGTGTGTGTGTCCACTGGTGTGTAGGATCTTATGTGTGTTTTCATGTACGTGGCTCTGAAAACAAGTGACTATAGTATTGAAGTTATTTCTTTTGGGGAGGGGTGCTTTTGAGTTTACTGATCAAAACCTTGTACCTCCATATGATTGTATAAAATAATACTTCAGTGTTTTCACTTGAAGTAATAAACCTCAGTAGAAATAGCAGCGGCCTGCAGCCAATACATGTGTTTTTAAATCATGACTGGATGAAGATGCTCTTCTCAGTGAGTATGTAAGAGTGGATTTTTTTAAAATATATGATGAAGTTAGTAGTTTCACTGCTGACATTTACATTACTAAACTGAAGGTAATTAATACTTAATAAACCTACTCAGTACATATGATCACATACAGTAGGTAGAGCTGGGGAACAGGGAATAAGTTAAAGCAGTGGTAAATGGAAATGTAAAATGCGTCCAACACATTTTTCCTAATAAATAAATAATTTACTTTTGGGGTTTGGAATGTTGTTCAGACTTTAAAAAAAAAGACACTCACAAATGAATGGCTTGGGTAGGGAATTCAAACAAAATTTAAAAAGAAGGACCATGCAGTCATGACTAATCAAAATCGGAATGCTTTCTTTGGACATTTTGGACAATTACTTGTGTTCTTAGGATCAAGCACGTTAGGAGGTCGTGAATTGTGTAATTTTGTCATTTCTGTAACAGCTTTTCTATTTCAGTCTATTTTAGATGTGCGTCTGATCATTTCAAACCCAATTAAACAGAAGACTATTTTATATTGATCGCCTCGTCTCTTGATCATAAAAGCAAAGGATTTGGACAATGTTGATCAATGCGTCTCAATTTGTCCATAAATGCTGTGGTTCTTTCTGCAAAAACAAAGATTCAATTGTCTGCTGTAAATAATAAATAACTGACTGAAAATTAATTCTAATTCTTTCCTCAAACAGTGAGGATTCTATTTGCTGACGCAGTTCAAACCATGGAACAAACTTGTGTCTTATGTTTTCATAATGAATATTAACAAAACCAACCTTCCCAAATCCTGGTGAGGATCCTTTCTTTGATTTTAATCTATTGCTTCTGTCTGTTTCACCTCATGCTAATCAGCTAACAATAACCGCAGTATAAATGTGATCATTTTAATCATTTTTCAGTGACTGTGATCCTGGTACCTGCTGGTGGTGCGGGTGAAGAAGGGTCTGTGGTTGACCGAGGGCACGGCCTCGTCCATGAGAGGGTAGGACTTGATGAAGGTCAGGGTGTCATCGGGGAAGGTGGTGGATGACTTGTAGGCAGCAGCTGAGCCCTCGCCTGCACAACAGCCAGGCCTTTGGAAAAAAAAAAAAAAAAGAAAATCTCAACACTGATTCGACTGACTTGTGAGGGACTGATGCAGAATCAGAGGCAGCTGTTTGTTTGTTAAAGGGACGAGGTAGGAAAAAGAAAACAGGTGCGTGGAGTCACTGTTGCAGAACAATAACAGCAGCTGCAGTTGCGTGGCCTCCCTTGTCACGATGCATTTTTGGTAAGTGACAGTTTGCTATTTAAAGATGCGGCTCTCACCTTGGCTTCGGGACCTGCTCCTCAGGAACAGGTGTCCAGGCCGACTCGCTGTTTCTCTGCTCTTTGAATTTGCCACTGAAGGCTTTCTCGATGTCGTCCATGTAGAAAGAGCAGACAGCAGAACCGGTGATACTGTTGAGAGAGGTCGCAAAGAAACACTGTTACAAAGGTAGCATGTAGTGTGAGCAAACTGTGAAATGTGTTCGCTGTTGTAGTGCTTTGGTGAATATCCTAAAACATGACATTTATATTTAGGAAGTCCGTCATTGGTCATTTGTTGACTGATTATTATGACTATATGCTAATCATCTTTATTTGAAATAACATAGTTAACTAGTCAGCTTTAAATCCAACTGAAAAAAAAAGTGGCACTTATTATAAAACACAGTTATACAGTCATTGGCTTATCACAGAAGCAAAAGAAACTAGTTTTTTTTCAGTTTCCTCATTTGCTTCATCCACTCTGGCTGTTTCTTACTGACCTGTTGGCCTGTGTGGTAAAGACACCCAGAACTGCTGGCCGGTGGTTGATCTGGAGAACATTGGTCAGCGACTGCAGGACATCAAAGTAGAAGAAGGAGTCACCGGGGACGGAGCAGTTAAGACGGGCTTTGAGGAACGACGTCCAGTAACGCTCCAGAACTCTGGGCGAACCACCGTTGTCGTTCTTACAAACACGAGCCACTCGGGAGAAAACGACCTGAAAAATGACAGCAAAAAAAAAAAAATCATATCTGTGTCTGTGCTTTGCTCTGCAGCAATACGAGTACCGATGCTTTACCTTGCCAAGTGTGGTGTACTCTACGGCGATTTCGCTAAAGAAGAAGTACACGTAGTTGCCGTACTCGATGGCGTGGAGGAAATGAGGTTCTGTGGGAGGTGGAAAAACGTCGTTGTCATTGTCAGTCTCAGCACTGATCATACATCAACTCATTTCAATAAACCTGAACCATCCCCGTCGTGTATTTAACGCTCCTCTACACTCACCCCGCAGCCATTTGGAGTCATACTTGACTGTACGCAGGACGGGGCTGCTTTCTCCCAGGCTTCTGTAAATGACAGCATCGCTGGCCAAGAAGTCGGTCATTGTGGCCGAGTAGAAATCTCCACCTGAGTTCAAAAAGAGAGACGTATCATGGGCGACCACAGTTTAATTGGATAAATCAGCTCTTTTAGAGTGTCCTTTTGGTCACTGGTGACTTTTGCTGCCCTTTAAAAAGAGGCAGAGGAGAACAGATGTAAGAGAAGCTGTCGCTTTTTAATAACACAGCAGGTGAACTTTGTAGAAATGTCAGCAGAGAACCAGCTGGACTGAATACAGGTGTGGATCAGCTTCATTCCCTCCCCTGAACCTCTCTGACCCTGATGTTCTCACAAAGTACTGCTTTCCTTTACTCTGTGATTAGTTAAAAAAATGAACCACACATTAGAATCCATTCAGGGGTGAATTCAGATAATAGCCTGTGTTTATCCCTGCTCTTCATGTCTGGTTTCCTGGTCTGGCTGTTCAAACTGAGATGGACGTAAAGTAACACAGTTTGGTTTGATTACATTTACATTTAAGAGACGGTTGGATCATTTTGAAGTGAAACTAAATGAGGTTTTTCTCACTCTTAGTGTGTAATATAAAGGTGACAAAAACACAGGGTCAGGAGGGCAAAAGCTGACTAACACAGCAACAGAGAAGGAACTGGCTTATATTACAATGTGGACAGCAGGTTATGAAATCAACTCTTTTCTGAGATAAATAGTTTCTTTGTTAAAAATATCTTGCACATTTCACATTTCTTTTCTGGGGGTCTCTGGGGATGTCTTCTCATACTAGCTAAAACAGAGGTAACACAGGGTGAAGGCTGGATGGAGTGGGTGGAAACAAGTGTCGGGGGTGAAGGCAGCAAAAGTGAAACAGACGCTTTACGAGATGGTACTCTGAGACCTGCTGTAATTTATGGTGCAGAGACAGTGTCGCTTTCTACAAGACAGGAGGCCTAGCTGTAGGTTGGGAAGAGTTGGAGCTGCTTCTCTGGAGGTGAGCCAGATTAACAGGATTAAATATTAGAGTAGATCAAACAAACAACAAGAACTGAATCCAGATTATTGGCAGGTTCTTTCCTGAGAGTTTCAAGAGTTTTATCCATGTTACATGGTTAGCTGTAAAGTTAGTGTGTCATGAAATGAGGTCATTTGTGAGTGTGTGACTTGATGGATTTTGTGACCTGGAACATGGACTAAATGATGTCAGGGAAGGAGCTGGACACATGAATGTGAACAGCAGCTTCTCCATGTCCTTCCTAAAACTCCCAAAAGAACACAACTCTGTAGATAGCGTGTTTTTATTTTTTCTAACTTTGACCCAATATTGGTCCAGGTCTGGTACCGCAGTCATTTGGACGTGACCTCTGCAGATCTGAGAGTCTGACTGTACTGCATCATATTTACAAGGCAGAATGTACTCACCTGCGAAAAGTCCAACGTTGGACTGTCTGGACTCAAACGGACAGCGCGCCTGTCCCACCACCTCCTCCCCTTCCTGCTCCAGTGTGGACATCTACGTCAACATCAGAGACATCATTTAATCACTTTTCAAAACAAGACATAAAAGAGAAACAGAGTGAAAGCAGCAAATCTAATAACATCATCATTGTTCACAGTAGTCAAACCGAAGCCTGGAAAAATCAATGGGCGTCAAAAACAAAGACATCTTTCATATGTGTTGAGTGCCAAAGATAAGCCGGAGGGTGGGGGATCAATATGTCCTAATGAAAGGCAACACATGCATCATAAAGATTAGTTTTATGTGATCAGTGGTAGGTGGGACTGGTGTGTATGATATATGGGTGGACTTTAAAGAGCAGAAAGGTCAGGCTTTATCTCACACCTACAGATTTATAGCTGCCATATTCTAACATGCTACTAAAAAACTGAAAGAATTATAATATATTATATACATTGATTGTTGCTTACAAAACTGATTTAATTAATTATGATCATTATGATCCATCACAACAACTCACTGGCTTTATTGGTATTTTATTTGCTCCTCTTACAGTGAGGATACAGGACCAGTGTGAAGGTGCTAAGTGCTCCCCACTTTATTATGTTGTTGTTAACTCCGTGGACAAAGCCTTACATTATGATGTGGGGGAGGAAAGGGAGAGGAGGGGTGGCGTTCACTTCCTAAAAGAAAGTGCTCCGTGAGGCCTTCAGTTCATTGTTCAATTATTAAAAGTGAAGGCAGAGTAGAAATCTAAATGTGCTGTTTTAAATTATAAAGGTTGTGTGTTGACCCCTGGTCAAAAACTGTCTGTACTTTTTCCAATGTTTCACACACGATTCAGGCAATAATTAAAACGGTTCAAAAAGGGCTTAAGTAAATGGTGAAAATGTATAACAAATATAAGTTAAAGAAAATATGTTAGCTATATGTATTTTTGGTCAGAAAAAACCCCACAAAGGAGGAGATATTCATTTTTTTTTAATTGAAAACCAGTGAATGTCAAACCACTACTTCTCTTCAAATCGTTGCTCTGACCCAGTCAAAGCAGCACAATTGGCCTCCAAGTCCGGAGGCAGAAAATCCAAAATTTGATAAAAAGAAAGAATAAAGTCCATTAACTGTATTATTCCTCTTTCTTTTCCATTTCTCTCTGCCTGCCTGTGTCCTGTAATAAAAACCCAACTGGAAAACCCATTAAAACACTTGGTCTTTGCCATTTCCTCCACTTCACTTGTTCAGTTTATTTTACCTTTTTTTTTTGCAAAAGCACTTTTCACCAGATCTCACATTTGGTGTTTCGTAAAAGGTAAGAGGTGATAAAACTAAAAGCACCACTTGTGCCATGTAATGCAACTCATTCTGACTGCAACATAAAGTATGAGAGAGAGTCAGGACGCGCAAAGAGAGAAGACTTGGAAAGAAAAACAACTGCAGTTTACTTTTGTTTGTACAAATCTGCTGAGTTTACGTAGTAAGTCACTGTACAGCTCTACAGGTTCACCCTGTGGTGATTGGTCTACACAGTCTACTGCAACCAGCCAATAAAAGTCATGGTCAGAAAAGAGTTTCCATTTAAAACAGTACCGTGTTTGGCTATTGCATCAATCAGTCCAACCACATCAGCCAGACCTTGGAGATTGTTGATAAGTACAAAATGATGGGAAATTTGATATTATGATCCAGCCAATGAAATATCACCAACCCAGCAGGAA